TGTGCATTTTTATATGATCTGAAATGTCTGCAGACTGGTGTGAGCAGTGAGGATGAAGAAGTCCACAGCAGCATCCAGGAAATGGTCTAGTGCCATGGATGAGTTGCTCCATCACTCCACCTCTTACTGCCTCATCTGGACCGGATGTTGCTGTGGTCTCTTCATCCTCAGTGACCCCAGAGCCAGTGAGAACATCTAGAGAAAGACCAAAAGACATTGAGGATGTGAGTTTGGTCAAGTTTGTCCTGCTGGTTTCGGTTCATACAACATCAGTCAATGGAGCCTGAGTTTCAGAAGCTTCATGACCAGAAACCAGCAGGACCAACTTGACCAAAATCAACTGTTGTCTTCAGAAAAAACAAACAAAAAAAAAGTGTGGAGGGAGGCGAGTAAATAATGACTGAATTTATATGTTTGGATGAACTAACCCTTTAAACCCCCCAAAAAGAAACTGTATGAAATATATGTATGCATTTATATTATAGTAGTACCTTGAAGAAATAAACTTTAAGAAATAAGCAGCTTTATTGAGCGTTTGTGCCCAAGACACAAAAAAGGATTTACAAAAATCACATTTACATTTATTCATTTGTCAGACACTTTTATCCAAAGTGACTTACAGTGCTCTTATTACAGGGACCCCCAATCCCCCTGCAGCAACCTGGAGTAAAGAGCCTTGCTGAAGGACACACCGGTTGTGACGACTGCGGAAATCGAACCAGCAACCTTCTGCTGACCAGTTCAGTCGTTTTGCCTACTAAACCTCAAAAGTAAAGAAGCTATGACAAAAATTAGCATGTAATTGTAAACATATGAAATGAAATGCTGACAACATGAATTGTAAAATGTTTTACTCTGTATAAATGTTTTACAGGTAGTTGTGCTCATGGAGAGCAGGCACACAAATGTTTGGAGCAGACGGAGCGGCAGCCAGATTGTCCCGCATGTTCTCCTGCTCTTGCTTCAAGATTGTGTGGTTCATGGGCGTCATCATGGTCTTCCTCATCCTCTCTCTGCAATCAGGCAACGACAGCCTCAATGTCCCTTTCTCAACCATGATCAGATTCAGTCTGACTGCAGCAGTGATGGTCGTGATGGACAGCAGAGACAGGTGAAGGTGGACATGGTGGGCAGCTGCAGAACTGGCACAGCTGTGTTGAGATGGCAGTAGGATGTGGATTCACCGCCTGTAAATACATGTTTGTTAGAACAATATGTTTGAATAAAGCTTTGTTTCATGTGTCGATGACTTGTATTTATTTATTGTCATGGTTACTTTTATTTATTCTTTTACTCATTTATTCATGTTTCCTGTTGTCAGTAAATAAAATATAATTGTTTCATTAACTTGTGCATTAATTCATTACTTGACTGAAAATTTAGATGTATTCACCTTGGCTGCATTTGTCTAGTGTGTATTCATGTATAGCTATTGTATATGACAAATCAAAATACATTTTGCTTGTTTTACTATATATATATATATATATAGTATGCTGGGCTAGCAATGCATTCTGGGGTAATCTTAATTTTTAAGTAGTAATACTTACATTTTTTGAGTGTAAAATTAACAGTCTTCTCCAAAGGCGAAGATCTTCTAGCAGCTGATTGACGTCTCCTTTGTGCAGATATTACAAATATGGCAAACCCTGAGGAAAA